CTCCTCCGGGGCAGGCGGGAATCGAACTCATGCGGAAGTGGCTTTAGTTTCTCAGTGCAGTGCTTTAACCCGCTGCGCCACCAGGGAGGGCCGTCATAAACTAGTTTTAATGGCACTTCACAAACAGAAAATGTCAGTGTGTCAAATGTCTTTATGCATCTTCCTAGGGCAAATGCTCAAGTGAGAAGACCAGACAAGGAGGGTTGGAAGTGCTTTCCATATACAAGCATTTTGCCAAGGGCACCTTGTGAGTTCTGAATACCAGAAGATTCTATTATTCAAAAGAACTATTTTAAGGTAACTCTCTGATACATGAGTATGACTCATTGAATGAAGGACAGGAGATCAAGAAATTACTTCTAAAGTAGGAGACCATGTCTCAGAGCACTGTTTACAATGTCTACTTCCAACTATGCAGAATTAAATGGTTTGAGGTAACTGAACTGTTACACATGCAGTAGTTTTTACAAATTATTACTGCTCTAATTTTCCACATTTATATTTCTCAGGTGATTGGTCTCCTGGAACAATACAAATAAAAACAGAGTTGATTGAGTTATTTTTCTTAACTACTATATGAGATAAGCATTATCCTTAATAAATGAAAAAAAAAATTACTGAAGCCCAGGAAAATGAAACTCCTCTGGCTAAAATATGTCAAGGGAAGACCACATTCAATGCTGTTTCTACAACACCGAAAGCTTCAACACAGGGGTTTTAATGAGCTGAGAGTGATTCTTTAACCTCGGTGCTTATAAAATACTCAACTGCAAACTCACTGGATCTTCAAAAACTGGACCTCACTTTTAATTTGCAAATAAGGTGGAAGGGAAGAGTCTATTCTGATTTTTTATCATTATATATTAACACATGCTCATTTTGTAAAACTCAGAACGTTAAGAAGTAAAGGGTCTCTATAATCATTTTCCTTCCCCTGAAATAAGCTGTGCCTTTACTATCTGAAGGACTATTTATGGCAGTAATACAATATATATTTTCTTTTCTTCACTTACTGTTAGACAAATTAAGTTAGCTTCATCACAATTAAGCACATGGTTTATATCAGAGTATATTTCAAATTACGTATATTCCTCTTACATTGCCCCTGTCACCCATGAATTCCCACCTCTGAATTCTGGCTAAAATTCAAAATGATTTAATTTCTTGAGATGCTTGGACGGTCAAGATCACTCAGCCCTGGGCAGATGATGTAGCACTGTCACCTGAGACCCTCATTTCCTGAACTATACAGAAATACTGTCTATTCTTTAAAAATAATAATAATAATTAGGTATGGTTTTAAAAGTACCGCAAATCCTCATAGAAAGATTATAATGTACCAGGTGCTGTTTCTAAGTGATTTCTATATTCTATATTCTATACTTTATATGGCCATATGAGTTACGTCAGATATTCCCAATTTCCAGGTGAAATTGCAACAGAGGATAAATCAAATACATTTTTCTATACCATCACAAACAAAAAGGGAATTTACAGATTTGTTTTATATAGATTTAAGTACAAAAATGTCAAATACTCAGGAAATCAGCCTAAGGATTAGAAAACTTTTAAACAAAAACTGGCATAATTCCACTTACATTAACTTAAAAAAAAAAAAAAGAGCTTTAATAAAGCATACCATCAGAAATCAATATATGATCCCACATTGTGAACAATGCCAACTATCAGCAAAGATGAAATCTATGTGGCCAGCTCTGGAAAGTAGGCATGAGGATTTCTTCCTTACTTAGAATCAGAAATCAGCTCCACCCTCCTGTTTATATACACCACATGAGTGTGACTGGCTCAAAGTCAGCTCTATTTCCATTGGCAAAGAAAATTTTATTAAAATTTGATATATTTAATGTCTTTTGTGATAAAAACTATGTATTTGTTTGACAAGCCATAATGTTTATACAGAATGTAGTATGAGGATGACAAGGCGTCTAGCAGAATGAGTCAGGAAGACTTCATGGATTTTTCCAGAATTTGGTGAGGATGGAGGGACGTAAGGCAGAGGAGATCATTTATATCAGTTCTGAACAGCACAAAACCTGTGTCAGTGTTAAAAATTCCCAACTATAAATTTTACCTTGAGAGATTTATAGGCAGCAACTGATGCTGACAGCAAATAAACAATCACAAAACAATAAAAAATATACACTATTAATAACAGTAATTTGAAGTAATGTGAAATCTTTCCTCTTTGAGGACAGATTCTACTCTTGCTTTGGCTGAAATAAAAATTAGACAGATTCTCTTATTCAACCTATTCCTTGAAATTTAGAAAAATGAACCATACTTTAATGCTACTGTTGAGCCTCCAAAACACACTAGAAGGATGTCTCTGGTATCCTTAAAATGGTTTTCAGGGAATTAAATCACTGAGTCGGTAATTGGTGGCCTCAAACAGGATCTTTGGAATTCTGGTATCTTATTGGTAAGAAACAGAGGCAACAAGAAACTGAGTTAAGTTCTTTTACACCCATGATTTCATTTAGTTTTCCCCACAATTTTAAGAAGTATGTTTCTTTCTAATTTTACAGAAGAAACTTTGCCACACAATCAAGGGGAAATAATATAAATTTCCCAAAATATAAAGTGGCTTTCTCAGATTCTAAAGCTCATGTTTGTCAGTCATCAGGCTATCTACTGTAGCTACTGAAACTTAAGTGTCTTAATAGTAAACATCATTAGCCTACTGCTCAAAACAGCTTTCATATCTTAGATATGAAAACTAATAATTTTTCACTTTAGTAACAGTATTTTCTCCAAATAGAATGGCTTAATTAAAACCACAAGTCCCCCAAACATTGTTTTTCCTTTGGTTAAGGATTTAGGTATAATGTAATTATATAAGGGTGTGAGGATCACAGGCCACCAGATCATGCCGTGCAAGTCCAACAATCAGTCTGTGGGAGCAGTGACAAAGGACTGCAGAGTTGGTAATAGTTACTTTAGATATATTCTACTTCAGGAAAATTTCTATATATCCAAACTAAACTGACATATAGGAATTTGCATAAGGAGGCATATTCCTGCAAATAGAAAATATACCTTACTAGAGAAAGTATTTTAACCATAATTCCAAAATAACAAAATGTTGCTTATAGAAATTGTTTTGAAATTACCGAATTTATAAGTTAACATGTGTGAATAACACTGTCAAATTATACTTTTTGAGGGTAAAAATAATCTAAGTAATAGTTCTATTTTCTTTTTTTTTTTAACAGCTCTATTTTAAATGCAACTCCCTGGTGTATATTTTATAAGCTTTTTCCAAAAAACCATTACCTGTTTTCCCTAAAGGGTATTTTTACTCATCACTATCTCAGACAAATGGAGAATTCTACAGACACTGAGTATCTTTCTATTGTCTCCAATGAGTTTATTTTCTTTCAATAAGGTAACATATTATGAAGAAGCACAATAAATGGGTCTGAGCAACTTTTGGTGACTATTACTTATGAAAGAATTTAGATGTCATTAAATTTTTTGTTTTTATTTATTCTTGCCTAACACTGACTTAACCCATTATTTAATTTACTTAAACAACATTCAGCAGTAGCTACATGCCAGTTTCTGTTGAGTCCAATCACTCCTTTTTTGGGTACCAATTCACAGGATTCCTTACTAGTAGCCTTCCTGTGAAGGCTACTAGTATTCCAAACAACAAAGTCTTCTGATAGCACTTTCCATATCTTCTTTCTCCCCTTCTTTACGATATACTTACGGTTGCCACTTCTGAGAAGTTAGAAGGAAAAAGCATAGCACTATGAAAGCACAGTGAGTTTTTTTTTTTTTAAAGATTTATTTATTTATGCATATAAAACTGGGGTATAAGCCAGAGGTGCAGGGGTCAGGGGTGGTGAGAGACAAGAGTGGGGAGCAGAGCAGGCAGATCTACTGGAATACACTGCTGAGGGGAGCAGCGGGCGGGTCAGGAGACACCTGCCACACTGTGTGGGTCACCTCCCTAGCTAGGGGCCGAACTTGTGTTGCAGTGGCTGTGGTAGCTTTATAGTGCTGTGCTTTACTTAACCTGTTGCACCACCAGGGAGGGACCACAGTGAGGTTTTTAAAAAGCATATTAAGATGTGCTTTTGGCAGATAGGATGAGAAGGGGTCTTTATCTTCATCTACCAGATCAATCACTAAAGGTAGAATATTGGATCATGCTTAGTGAAATAAGCTAGCAAGAAAAAGAAAACTACGGATGGTTTCACTCATAGCAGGAGTGTAAGGGACTGAAAGAAAAAAAAAAGTAATTGTAAGAAGGTAAAAATGAAAATCAACAAACAATTATAAACCAGAGACATTCTATAGGGCAGAGAAAGGAACAGGATCAAAACTGGGGCAGGAAGAGCTCATGGGACTATGGTGACGGTACATTGATACACTGGTGCTGGAAAGTCCACGGGGATTACAATGGAGATGAAAAAAGGTACAAAATGAAGAATGATGTTAAAATATTTATATATTTAGAAAAAATGTATTTATATATTTAGAAAATATATATAGATAAACACACATACATATATATGTGAATATTGGGTAGAAACAGTAATATCTATGATTTAGGGATAACTATGAAAATTTATTTTCCATATTAGACCCTCAGGGAAATATAATTAAAATAAGAAGTACAAAAAAGGAAATACAAATTTGCACTAATAACAGTCATCAATATAGAAGATGCAGGTTTAGAGAAGTAATGATCCTTCATTCTCACCACATGGTACTTACTTGCCATCTGTGTCTGAAGTAGCTGCATAGTGCAGGGGTGTGCAGCCTCTTTCATCAAGGTCATTCACACTTGCTCCTGATCCCACAAGAGCGAACAGGCACTGGTAATTGCAGTTGGCAGCAGCATAATGCAGTGGAGATCTTTGTGACCATGTTAAAATATATATATATATTTTAAAAAAAAGAAGCCAGGGACATACACCCATAAACAAGAGTGTCCATCCACAAATACTGTTTTACATAGTGAGTCTGGGACTGATTCTACCCCACACTAAGTCTTTAGGAGCACTGTACTGAAAGCTAGGAGCAGAGGATCAAATGCCAGAGACCCTTTAAAAACGGGAAATAAGCAGCAGCACAACTAAATTATATCATAGTCCCTGGATAGTAATAATTCCAGTCTTTTCAACACATTACAGCCTTCACCAGCTGCTCAGAAACTTGAGAACTTTCATTTTGACCATGATTCCCTTCTTACTAATAAAAATGTTCCATAGTACAGAAGGAACAGCTTCTGTTCATGTCTCAGTAAAGAAATAAAGGGTAAGTGAAAAAGAAGCATTAGAAAGAATGCTCAGTTACATCAATAAATGGTAGAGCTGCATAGTTATTATCAGTTTCTCAAAAAACAAGGCATAGTTCTAGAAGACTGGACATTCTAAGAAAGCACAGCTAGAATTTCTAACACTGAATATTTGTAGTCCATTTCTTTCCAGTTACTGAAATAAAACAAAGTGTTACAGAAAAATGAGGGTAAATTTAGTTCTGTAAAGGTATAACTTTTACTAATGCATTTACCTAGTGAAATGACACTAAAACTTAATTTTATCAGAAAATCTTAGATATTTCTAAAAATGCAATTAGCCCTAAAATATTATCAAGCCTCTAAATTCAGAGTATGCTTCAGAGACCCTTGCTGCTTGCTATTTGCAGTAAAGAATACTTCAGGTGCTATGATATAACTAATTTAAGTTAAAGTTTAATTACAAAAGCAAATCAACTCCAAAATTACTGTATTGGAAAGCTAAACAAAGTGACTTTTGATGTTGCCTGTCACTAGTTCCTTCCACTAGCAAGCTTATGAGGGCAAACTATGCCTCAAAGTTTTTTTATGGGCTCAAAGAGTTTTTTCCCTTTCTTTTTGATATGCCTCTCTCATATCCTATGATACATATAATTCTATTTACTTATGTACTGGCCCAATCACATGCACTGACATATTTACACAAATCCTTCTGACACACACACCCTTTCCTGTAATACACTTTGATATATATATAATTTTCAAACTCTTAACACACATAAATCTGCTAATACTGCCAATCTTATATTTCAAATCAATTCAAACTATCTTCAACCCTTTCCTGTATGGTTCATATGCTGGGTCAACTCCTAGTCAAGTTAGGTAGTAAATAATGGTGGCTCTAAGTACCTTTAACACAAAACTACTCATGAGGTTGGGGCTGAACAATGCAAACAAGAAATGAAAACAGAGGGGCTCTGCCTTTTTACATTTGTCTGCAGCAAATCAGTACAATGGGTGTGTGGACATACTAGTATGTGTTCATGTGTATGTGGGGAGGTACAGAACAAGGGAAAGAAAAGTAACATTTATACGTATAACCTATTTCCTTCCTTTTTCCAGTACTGTGAAACCACATATGGGGCAAAGGTCTGCTGTATGTTTCTTGAAGGGACACTGAAGAATTTTACATTTCCATAGCAGGAGGAATGATATCAAGTGCCACAGAGGTGTTTACAAGGGAAGAGTTGTGGCTAACTGTGATTCTGGCAGGGAGTCACAGGTACTTCTTCCACCCAGTGGAAGAAGACTGGGTGACAATGGGTATTTAGAAATAAACAACTTACTTGAATCACTCAATAAATCAGGCTCACAATGCAAAAGATGCTAAAATGTTCAGTTAATTCTAAAAGCCAGTATGAAGGTTAAATGAGTCATTAAGTAAATAACATTAATATACAGAGAACATATACAGAAACTGTATCACATCCTACCTCCCAAATTTGTCCTTTTTGTTGAAATCTGCACCAGTATTCAGAAGAAGGTTTAGGCACTCCAAATTCCTAAACAGGGAAAACAGTCAGAAGACTTAATGGTCAGTAATTTTATAATGAAAGTGATAGGTTTATTTCAATGAGTACAAAAGCCTTTTTCAAATGAGAGTGAAAGTGAATAAAACAGCATGACTTGTATTTTATGACACAAGCACATTTAAAATTCATCTTATCTAAAAGTTACAAAGTTCGGTACACATATATTGGCACATTGATAGGGAATTCAAAATGAATAACATTGTCACTGTTTAGAAGGAAGTTCATATTTGTAAGAGGGTTCCTGAAGAGTTTTCTGCAATCTTTTTTTTTTTGTTTTTTTTTTTTTGTTTTCTGCAATCTTTAAAAAAACTTCAAACAATATGGTTATAACTGAATGTTTTCTATTTAGTTGTTTTTAATCCTAAAATGAGTTTAAAACACCATACTACATGCATTGATATACCTTTGGTTAAAGTTATAGGGGAGCACATGACATGCATGGTTATTCTTTAATTTACATGTATAAACCTGAACATCAACTTACTACAGAAGTTACAAAAAAAAAAAAAAATTTTAACCGCCAAGTCAATCTCTGACTGGTGACCATGGAAGAATAAGAGGAATCTTTATTCACCCGTCTCTACAATGATACTGGTCCAGTGGTATTCTTGGTTAGCATACATGTGTTCAGGAACTTTCAACTTTTAGGATATTCTTACTGGGAGTAAAACTCTTGCAAACATCCTTTTGATAAGTTTAGGATCAAAATGAACGGTTAACAGCATGCATCACAGATCAAGAATTTTAGGTGAAGTTTTTCATTCATTAAAACCATCTGCTTAGGTTTCCCCAGTAGTAACACTTAAAAGTTAGTTCAAAATCTTTTGATCTCTAACTTTCCTTTTCCTATGTAGTCACAAGCACAGCCAAGACATAAAAAGGCAATCGACATTTGTAATTATGACTGAAAATGCAAACACCTGATTGGAGAATACTAGTTACTTGATAATGTTTTGATGTTATTGACTTATCCAAAAATAATAATCTTCTCTTACAGAAAGCATTACTTCTATTTTTCCTACTTACTACTTAGGTCTTAAGTAAGAGATGAAAAAAGCAATTTTTTAAATATTCTGGACTTTCTTCTCCCAAACCACTTGTGCTACGTTTTGCTACGGTCTGCTATCCTTCTCTTAGAACAAGAAAGATACTGGCCTTTCCTGGTGGTACAATGGGTTAGGATGCAGCACTGAAAGCTGGCTGCAGCTGCTACAGTGCAAGTTTGATCCCCAGCCCCAGCACAGCAACCTCTCCTGACCCGCCCGCAGCTCCCCTCAGCAGTGTACTTCATTGATCTGATCTGCCGGTTCTGCTCTTTTCTGTCTCTGGTGAATCCTCTCTCTGCCTCTGCACCTCTGGCTTGTACCCCAGTTTTGTACGCCTAAATAAATAAATCCTTTAAAAAAAAAAAAAGGAAAGAAAGAAAATGAAAGATTCTATTAACATACCCTCCAGCTGCAGCTGCATGTAGACAAGTCCTGCCAAAATCATCTGGAGTATCTATATCAAATCCTACAAGAATGAATACACCTTACATATTTTAAATATTACAGACATTAATTTGTATTATATTAAGAATCACCTCCCTCAACTGCAAACAAAGTCATAATATCCAAACAGGTAAAAATTAATGAAAATAGATTAACAGTATATAGTATCACCAAAACAATTACCACTAAAGGATTGGGTTTTTTTCTAGGACAAGTGCTGGAATACTTATTTAAATGCCACAGGAAACAATGGAATCATTTTCAGCATTGAAAAAAAAAAAAATGCTCTGGGCCCTCCCTGGTGGCAGTGGGCCAAAGCACAGCACTAAGAAGCAAATGCCACTTTAACATGAGTTTGATCCCTGCCCTAGAGGTGACCCACATGGCGCGGCAGACCTCTCCTGAGCCACCCACTGCTCCCCTCAGCAGTGTACTTTGTCAGTCAGCCTGTTCTGCTCACCACTCCTGCACTTCTGGCCTGTACATCAGTTCTGTATGCATAAATAAATAAATCTTTTTTAAAAAATGCTCTAGTGATATTGTGGGCTCAGTTTCAGACCACTGCAGTAAAGCCATTATAGCCTCAAAGTGAACCACATGAATGTATGTTTCCTGTTGCATATAAAAATTACACTAGTCTGTTAAATGTGCAAAAACATTTGTCTAAAGAACAGTGTTCACATCTATGCTTAAAAATGCTTTATTGCTAAAAAATGCTATCATCTGCACTTTCATCAAACATCATCTGAGCAATAAGATGAGGTGTGCCTGTAATGTACTGATACATGTGACAACAACAAGGATGACCCTTGAGAACATTATGCTAAGTGAAAAAAGCCAGTTATGAAGGACAACATCTTGGGGGTTTACTGTTCCATAAACTGCCCAAAACAGCCATCTTCATAGAGACATAAAGTGATATAGTGGACTAGTGGTTGTTTACTGATGGGGGTATGAATAATGGAGGACCATCAATGACGTTTCTTTTAGGAAGGATGAAAATATTCTAAAAGTGATAGTCAAATACCTTTGTGAATCTGTTAAAAAGCACTGGAGTGACTCTAAATGGGGGAGTTGTATGGTATATGAATTATAATTCAGAAAGGCTGTTTTTTTAGAAAAAGACACAGGGACTTGCTATCTGTACATTATTACTACCATGAAGAAGAGATTTTAGTATTTTCTTATATGTATAGACACATATATGTTTTTAAAAAGATCCTCAAAACAGAATTAACTTACTTAAAAATTTTCATTAAGAAAAACTAAGAATTGTCTGTTTCACCGTATTTTAATTCTTCACTGATATATTCCCATAATTCTTTCAGCAATCATGAATAAAAAATCTGTTCAACTTTCTGAACAGAGTATCACTTAAAATCAAATCTTATTAAATATTTAATAACCGATGCATTCAGTAAGTACTAATTGTAAAAATATGTATAGAAAGCTACTGGTCATATTTTGTTTCAAATTGGTTATGAATATATTATTTAAAGTATCAATTATATATGGCATAAATCACTTCATAAACCCAAAAGATATTACAGAAAGGCTACTGTTTCTTTAAAAAGGAAGCATACAAATTAGGATATTTTGTTTCTATAGATATGAAGGGCCAGACAATGCAAAACCACCATTCAATGAACATGCCTATGTTGCTTCTCTAGACAAATTCCAACTAATGCTAGAGAAGGAAATCACTGCAAATATAAACCTTTCACCTATCAGAAGAGCAAACTGAATCTTAAAATTAAAAGAAGAGTACCTTTCTAAGAGGGGTTAAAAAACTATCCACATTTGGACATATTATTTTGAAAAAGCACAGTAAAAGGATTGTGTTAAAATTTGAGTTTGGGGTGACAAAAAATGGAGAATCATGGGGATGTATGTTAGCTAGACTTACTGTAGCTATCATTTCACAGCATAAAAATCAAACCAAGATATCTTACACCTGAAATTACTAAGTCAATTTACACCTCAATTAAAAAAAAATAAAGAAATTAGCCTCTAAAGAGCTCACTTACCAGAAGAAAGAAGCTTCCTGCAGCAATCAGAAAAACCACTCAAGGCTGCCAGATGAAGGGGGAACATTCCATGTATACCACGCCTTAAGTAAACAGAACAGTATCATTGTAACATAAGAAATAGCCCGTCATTTCAGTAATTTACAAAGAAACTTAAAAGTGAAAAGATAATTAGGTGAATTACAATCCATAATACTCTGGAGAGCAATCAGATATAAGTTCCAAAAGCAGGATCTCTCAACTCCGCCCTATTTTATTAGGGACTTGGTTGAAGGTTTGCATATACAGCTATCCTGAGAATATGGGACATTCAGCAACGGCCCTGGGCTCTGCCCACACTAGATGCCAATTTATACTCTCCCTCTCAAACTGTGACAACCAAAAATGTCTCTGGACATTTACCTATACAACAAAATCCATTCTATCTACTCCATGCCATTAAGAATCATTGCCATGGCCCTCCCTGGTGGTGCAGCCAGCTAAAGCACTGCACTGAGAAGCTAAAGCCACTTCTGCATGAGTTCGATCCCCGCCTGCCCCGGAGGTGACCACATGGCATGGCAGACCTCTCCTGACCCGCCCGCGGCTCCCCTCAGCAGTGTACTTCGTAGAACTGCCTTTTCTGCTCCCCACTCTGTCTGTAGTGAAGCTTCTCACCGCCCCTGAACCTCTGGCCTATACCCCAGTTCTGTATGTACAAGTAAAATAAAATCTTAAAAAAAAAAAATTGCCACAAAGCAAAACATGCACATATTGCTACAATAATTTTTGTAATAGCAAAAAAAGAAGACAACATATATTTGTAAAGAATAGCTAAATTCCTTCTATAATAAGTTTTATCAATGAATGAACTAGAGTTATTTACAGAGATGTGAAAAAAGAAAACCCCAACTTATAATGAACTTGGTTGAATAAATAGTCCCAAAGTATATAATACTGTTTGTAGAAAGTTTAGATTTTAAACAAGTTAATATATAAAAGCAAGAAAAATTAAAATACAGGAATGGTAAACATCAATTAAAGTAAGACGTTTATTTCTGTAGAGCATGCAAGAGAATCCATCATTTAAATACAATCCCACATAAAAACTTTACAGAAAATAAAAGTGAACTTCTTTGATGAAAGTATGATGCATCAGATCCATTGTAGTCACTACCAAGAAATCCTGAGCTCAGTAGCAGTCTGAAAACTACTATCTATAAATAGATCTAAATGAAAAAGTACTCTCAGTCTATGATTTTTTGGGAATATTTTATTAGAATAAACACACACACACACACACCCCACCATAGAAAATAAAGGCTCTGGGTCCTCCCTGGTGGTGCAGTGGGTTAAAGCACAGCACTAAGAGGTTGAAGCCACTTCAGCATGAGTTCGAAACCCACCCCAGATGGAGGTGACCCATATGGTGCAGCAGACTTCTCCTGACTGGCCCACCCGCTGCTCCCCTCGGCAGTGTAATTTGGCGATCTGCCTGTTCTGCTCCTCACTCTGTCTCTGGTGAATCCTCTCACCACCCCTGCACTTCTGGCTTGTACCCCAGTTCTGTGTGCATAAGTAAATAAATCTTTAAAAAAACAAAAATAAAGGCTCTGATCAAATCATTAATACTCATTATCTAGAGAGAAAAAATAATCTCTTAAGCTTTATTAACCAAATTAAACTGTATTAAATATTTTATCACACTATCAGTGCAAAAAGAAGAGTTCAAGCAGTTAATACAAAACTGAGCTCACAATTCATGTTTTACTTAAAATACCAGGAAAACTGCAATTCTCTGCCTTCTGAGAAGGAAGTGCTCATCTGTGCTGATAACCTTCAAAGTCATCAGCCGCTCTGTAAGTACGTACTTTGCAGTGTCGGCACCACTTGTGATGAGAGTGTTGATGAGCAGCTCATGGCCGTACTGCGCTGCTATGTGCAGAGGGGTGTTTCCATTCTTGTCTTCACAGTCAATTACAGCTCCTGCAACAAAGACTATGGTATTGGACACTGAACTACACAAAGACCAAGTCAAACCTATTATATCAAAGTCATATAAAACTGTATTCAAGTACAAACTAATGGGTACAGCAATTTAACTAGATTTCATTCAGGGTACATTTATAGGTTCAGGTGCTCAGTTATAGGCTACTGAAAATGGTCTGTAAATTGAGCACAAGTTTTTAACCAGTTTAAAAATTTAAAAAGGTTCTGGGGACTTTAAGTTTTGGAAATTACCATATTAAAACTAAATTAAACACATTTTCTTGGAGCAAAAATTTTCAGAGCTTTAATGTGCACACTGAATGTATCACTCTGTGCATGCAGCACTTAGCTAATTATCTGATCATGAACCTACACTTTCTTCCCCCTACAGAACCATCAACCTGTTATGTTGATGACAAACCACCAGACCTGAACATGGTTTGGGAAACACTGTTTTAAAGAACTGTACTTTAAGTTCTTTTTATTTAAAAGTTTAGCTGATCCTAATACTTCAAATGCAAAAGCATAAAATTTTTAAAAATAGGTAAAAATCCTATGAATAATTCAAAATATTTAAAAGAAGAGTTTTGCCAGTATATAGTACAGACTGCCATGGAAAGGTAGCTGTCTATTTAGCAATGTTTTTAAAAAGTCAACACTAACTATAAGAAAAGCTATAAATGGAGAAAACAAAAATAAGAGAAAAACAGAATTATGAAAGGTACATACACACAGGACACAGCCCTCATAATTTGGTTTCCATGAAACCAAATATCTAGACTAATGACAATTCCACAATACCATTCATTTTGTAGTTTTTTTTTTCTACATTTAAGAAAATAAACAAACAGAAATACTTTTTACCACTCTGGATAATGGTTTGTGATCTGGAGAATCTACCGTGGAGGGCAGTCATGTGCAGTGGGGTTTTCCCATCTTTGCTCTGAAAAAAAAAAAAAAAAAAAAAATTTGTAATTACTGTAATATGCAATCCTTAGTTTTATTATGAATATTCTCTTGCAACATTTTTTGGTACAACTATCACTCAAGCATTAAGTTAAACTGAAGCTTAAGAAGGTAAAACAGCTGTTCAGAATTATAAGCTAATATTTTTTAGCATGTGTACCTTAAAGTATAAACATATAAGAAAGCTCAATGTTTGCAGTATAATTCAAGTATTTGGTATATTTTATCCAATCAAAATTTACAGAAGAACAAGGGTGGTATGGGAAAGGAATGTACCTTAAGCAAAACAATGCAGTAGTGCTACATTTTTAGAACATCAAGGTTCTAAAAATCAGACATGGATTATTTTCTAAACTTGTCATTTTAAATCTATGTGGTACTTTATAAGGCAACCAATTAAAAAAAAAAAACGAAGGCAAATGTCAAAGTGAACCTAGCTTCTCAGTTAAGCAATCATTTTACAGTCATTTGATAATCATCATTTGACAAAAAAAGGAAATGCAGTTGTAGGAAAAAAGACATATTCTTTGGTTGGTAATTCACTGCTGTCAATCATTTCAAAGCTGTATGCTATTTAGAAGTCATTAACAACATAGTAAATGTATGTTTAGAATTACCTGTTGGAGGACAGTTATACAAACAAAAGCAACCAAAAATTACCAGGAGAGGCTATAATACCTGATGAGGTAGACTTTCAATTAAAAAGAAAAAGTAAAAAGAGATAAAGAATAATAATTATGATTAAGGGCCAAATCCAACAAAAAGCACTAACAATTTAAAAAATGTATGCTATGAATGATGGGTGGAGCACCAAGATATGTAAGGAAGTAACAGAACTTGAGAAATATCGATAATGTAATAATTCTAGGAGACCTTTATACCCCACTTACAACAATGGACAGATCAACAAGATAAAATATAAATAAGCAAATAACAGCTCTAAATAAGGAACTAGACCAAACAACTATAGAACACTTTACCCCAAAAGTACTTCATATTTGTTTTTTTTCCTTAAGTGGATATGGAACATATTTAAGATGCATACCCTGGAACTCAAGTCAATTATCAAAACTACAAAGACTGAAATTAAACCTAGCAACTTCTGACCACAATGCCATAAAACTAATACAGTAGGAAAACAAACATGGAAAGCAAACAATATGTTGCTTAATAGCAATTGGATAAAAGAAGAAATCAAAGCAGAAATTCAAAAAATATCTAGAAAAACAGAAATGATGATATAAGTTACCAGAATCTATGGGATTCAGCAAAAGTTGTCTCAAGGTGAAGACAATTGTAAAACAGGCCACATGAAAAAAAGCAAGAAAAAAATCTCAAACATCACATCTAAAACAAATTGCAAAAGAACAAATAAGAAGTTATTAGAAAGAAGGGAATAATAAGAGTGAAATAAATAAAATAAATAAAAAAAGACAATTCCCCTGCCCCTCAAAAACACCAACACTGGAGCCAAGAACAGGTTCTTTGAAAAGATAAACAATAATAGATAACCTCTAGCTAGGCTAACAAAAAAGAGAGAAATATTGATTACAAAAAGTAATCACAAATGAAAGAAGAGAAATCACTACAGGTAGCACTGAAACAAAAGATTTTAAGAGATTAGGAAAAGGAACAAGGGAACACAGGAGAAGGAAGAGAAGAAGGGAAAAGAAAAAAACAACTAGAAACAGAAAGAAACACATTCAACATGATAAAGGACACAACTAACATCATACTCAACAGGGAAACTTTCTTCTAAGATCAGGGACAGAAAGACACAACCATATAAACTGATACATAGGCAAGCCTTTCTTATTTCCTGACACTTAATATTTAACATACAAAGATGATTTTTTTTAATTATTACAAAAGTTTTTTTTTACATCATTTTGCAAAGATGATTTTTTTTTAAAGATTTATTTATTTATTCATACAGAACTTGGGTACAGGCCAGAGATGCGGAGGGTGAGAGGATTCACCAGAGACAGAGTGGGGAGCAGAACAGGCAGATGGACAAAGTACACTGCTGAGGGGAGCAGCGGGCGGGTCAGGAGAGGTCTGCCTCGTCATGTGGATCTGCTATGGGGCAGGCGGAAGCAAACTCATGCAGAAGTGGCTTAAACTTCTTCGTGCTGTGCTTTAACCCGCTGCGCCACCAGGGAGGGCCCCAAAGATTTTTATTATAATCACTGTTATAAAATAGGTCTTGCACAAACAGAAATATTTTGGTTGGGTACTTTTCTTTGGAGGACTATTATAATTTTAAAATTTATTTATCTATTTTAAAAAATATTTGTTTATTTATGCATACAGAACTGGGGTACAAGCCAGAGGTGCAGGGGCAGTAAGAGGATCATCAAAGATAGAATGGGGAGCATAACTGGCTGGTCAACGAAGTACACTGCTGAGGGGAGCAGCAGGCGGGTCAGAAGAGGTCTGCCGCAACATGTGGGTCAGCTTCCTGGCTGGGAATGAATTCATGACACAGTGACTTGCTAACACTGAGACTTTAACCCTGTGCCCCCAGGGGGGTCCTAACATTTACTTTCGAAATAGTCAGTTTTCCTTTAAAAATGTTATTAGGCCTTTAAAACCAAGGTATCAAAAATTTTCCCCTCCAAGATCCAAGCAGGAATTCATCAACTCAAAGTAAATAGTTCAAACCCATTATTAATATATTTTTAGTAATTATCTTAAAGGAGTTTAGTTGATGATTTGTTGAGGACTGAAAGCTTTAAATGTAATTTAAAAGTCATCTGAATCATAAGTGTATAATAGGGGTTCTTATGATACTTGTGCCTTTTCTTGGGTGTGATGTGTATAAATTTTGCTCCTTAGCTGGGAGAAGGCAATTTGGAATGAGCAAATTACAAATGACCCTGTTGCTGCTACAGTTTTCAAGATGGGTCGGTGGAATCACCAAAGGCTTCTCAAGCTTCTCTAAAGTTGAAGAGGTGAGAAAATGGATTCCTTTCTCTAAGTCTATAAGACACTGACTTTATATCATACTTACAAAAGGAGCTGGATCTTATGTGATTAAAGCTCCAAAAACTACATTTTAAAATTAAACATTTTTACTAGTCTTAAATGGTTCAATTTTGTTTATAGTTTTTATTCATTCCTATCATAAAATAAAGTCTAACAAGCACTCAAAGAATGAATTGATGAATACAAAAGCAATTAGTGAACGTCTTGGAAAATGTAAAATGAGGATTACACATTACAAAGCAGTGGTGCTAAAATATTGGTTGCATGTGCTTTGTTTTCTTCTGACAGAATTATACAATTGAAAGTACATTTATTTTGGCTCTAGAATTTTCACATTATTTCTAAAATTCAAATGGTCTCGCTTGAAAGTCACTGTGACCAAAAAGATAAAAAGCAACTAATGGTAAAGTGCAGCACACTGATAATAGTCTTTTGATGGTGCTTTAATTCTTCTAATACTGTGAAAAATTTCAAACAAGAAAAGGTGAGAGAAATTTTACAGTGAACTCTACCCCCACACATACCACCAGGGTCCTGCAATTAATATTTTACTCTTTATGCTTTCTCACATATAAATCTCTTCAGCATACTTTCTAATTATTACATGCTTCTCAAAGCTAGCTGCTTATTACCTCCAAATACTTTGGTAAGCATATTGTGAACTCAGCATCATCTTGAAACTTTTAATCTTGACTTATTTATTACTTTCTGAGGGAAAACTTAGCTGCACTGAAGTGACTAAATCTTAAATGCATCACTTCCTGAGTTCTGATATTTATTCACATAACATAGAGTTTTATCAAAATGCAGAAAACCATCATCCAAGGAAAATCCCCTAACCCCATTCTCATTAGTCCCTACTCTCAGAAGCAATGTGAAGTGTGTACATACTTGTATAAGGCTTTTACTCAGCACCTGTGTAAGGTTCATCTGTGTTGTATCAGTCATTTATTCTTTTATATTGCCTAGTAGTATTTATTACTGACGATAATGTAAACAGTGAACCGCTAGTACAACAAATATGGATTCTATTTCATACCTTCATATTCACATCAGCCCCATTGCCAACTAGAAGTTCTAAACACAAAGCTCCGTGTGTTGATGCAGCAGCAAAATGCAAAGGAGTAAATCCTTTTTCATTCTTCTGATTTACATTAGCACCAGAGTCTATAAGTTCATTCACTACAACATCTTGTCCATTATAACAGGCTACATGAAGAGGTGTGTTTCCATAGGCATTTGGTTCATTCATCTATTGGGAGAAAAACAAAGTGGTTCCACTGTCAGTTGTTTTAGCAATGTAGTGGCTGCAATCAAATTATTAAAGTGAGAAAAGACAGGGAAAAATACACTGCTAAAGTCAATTCATCTTTCAAAATAATGAATATTGGCAACAAACATTTTGGTGTTAAATAAAACCTGTACATTCAGGGTACATAATTCATACATACAATGTCTACTTCAAAGCAAAAGTGAATGATTATAAAAATTATTTCAGGGAAATGAAAGCTAAAATAATATACTTTAAAATATCTATTTAGGTAAGGACAATATGAAAACATGAAAAAGTGTACATAAAGCAAAAACTGTGAGGTATAAAAATATACATATTCTCAAGTTTTTTCACTGTATTGTGACAAAAGATTCAAGTTAGCAATGAAATAAGATCAGGAATTCAAATTAAGAAAAATATGAGTGGTATCATTTCATAATTTTTTTTTTGTATTTTAGTACTTTTAGCCTTGTATGTTGACATTTTACCAAAAAGAATATGCTCAGAAGAATGTGCTCAATAATGGGAGACAATTCATATGTAACTCAAGTTTTTTTCCATTTGCTTCTAATAAATGAATGTTTTACATGATTCTTGTACAGTAAGGCATTTGACATTGTTCCAAGGATTTTGGGAGGTAATCTATGGCATATCTAATAGTCGTGTCCTTGTTAAGGGCGGGAACTTGAGAAGGGACAATTCCCCCACAAGTTTTAGGATAGGGGCTTTTGGTCACTCAGTGGACTTAAGAGACTGAAATCAACTATGTGGGCAGTCAATTATTCATAATATATAATGGAATTCCCAAAAAAACCCTGAAAATATGAACTTTTCTGACTGGCGATACTATGCGCATTTTGTCATACACATAACATTATTGCTGGAAGAGCCTGAAGTCCATGAGGTGAGGACAATGGAAACTTTGTTTTTAGATTACTCCTGTACTCTGTCCTAAGTGTGTCTCTTCCTTAGGCTTATCTTAATTTGTATCTTGTATGTATAATAAGTCATAACTATGAATACAAAAGCTTTCAGTGAGTTCTTGAAGTCCTTATAATGAGTTATTAAATCTTATGGTTTGGGGAAACCCCCAAACTTGTAGTTTTTCAGAATAAAGAATAAGTCTTGTGTGGACCTTGTAGTGTGAACCCATTTTAATCACAAGTTTACTGAATATTTTCTGTTCTGAGGTTCCTGGCAATAGAAATTTAGAGAAGTGAAAAGGTAACACTAAACTTCAGTTACAGTATCTAGAGCTCATCACCAAAAACTAGGAGACACAAATGATTAAATTGCTTTAAGCCATTTAGTTTGTGATAATGTTATGGCAGCTCTAGGTGACTAATAAATTACACCACTGGAGGCCAGATTTCAAGATATGGCTCTAAGTCTGACCACTAATTTTGTTGTTGTTATTTTAAATATTACTTTATTCATACAGAACTGGGGTACAAGCCAGAAGTGCAGGGGAGATGAAAGGCTTCACCAGAGACAGAGTGGGGAGCAGAATAGGCCAAGTGATGAAGTACACTGCTGAGGGGAGCAGTGGGCGGGTCAGGAGAGGTCTGCGCCATGTGGATCACTTCTGGGGCCAGGGATCAAACCTGCACTGAAGCCTCTGCAGCCAGCCTGCAGTGCTGCGTCGTAATCTGTTGCACCACCAGGGAGGGCCTCACCATTAATTTTGAAGAACACTTTGACCAGAGTTTACAAATGTTAATTTACTGTGAAATAAGTTTTTAAAATTGCTCCAGAATGACCATGAAACAACAATCAAAAACCAAGTTGTCTTATTTACCTAATCAGTGGTCTTTTAAAATATTATTGTTACATTGATGAAACAGAGCTATAAAGAATACATCTCTGCAATCTGCAAGATCCCATCAAACATGTGTTTGGATTTTGCCACTTCTCATGTCCCCCACACTTTCAATAACTACTTGCTTACTTTTGGCAAAGTGCTTCCTAAGGTCTTTAACAGTCTACTGAGCTCTACAATTCTGTTAGGTATTCTTCATCCACCACTCTATCATCTACTTTTTGTATGACTTTTGCTGCTGATGTCTTCCTTTAGTAGAGGCTTATCCTCTTCCCTTCTAATTTTCTGCTTTTAACCTGTGTTAATTCTGAATATGTCAGAATTGGACCTAAAATAAGAGCAAATAAATTAAGAGTGGGTATAAATTCTGTGTGCTTAAAAGTATAGCCTGTGAAGGATACAGGAATTCTTAGGTCTCCAATTCACAAATCACTGAGTTAGATTCATTAGCAACCCTTCCTAACCAGATTTAAGAAATTGCAAACACATAAAATGCTCCATGCTTTTATATTGCTTGATCTAATACATACATCAACTCCAAGATCTAGAAGGTACTTGACTACACTGATCATTCCACTAGAAGCTGCTGCATGAAGAGGTGTATAAGCCTTCTTATCCTTGCATGTCACTTCAGCTCCGTGTGCCACAAGTAGTTTCACTACTTCAGTGTGACCTGAAAACATGTTCAGAAAGAACAGAGATGAACACATGGATGATCATTAATTCTTGAAGTTATATTTTTCTAATGGTAAAACAAAAAACATAAGAAAACAAATGAACTCAAATTAGTTAATAATAATTTTAAGGTCCAGGAAAATTCCTTGCCTATAACTGAAATAATTAAAAGTAGTGAAATACATCTTGACTTTTAAGTCCTACATTTAGATACAAAGCAAGATCGAAAATGAAGGTTACTGAAAGTTAACAGTTTCCTTGGCAGATGTCCTGTTTTGAAAACCGAAAGCTGAAATACTGCACTTTGGTGTTTCTCTCACGCCAAAGGTTTAGGTCTCTAATTTTATTATAGGCAATTTACTTCTGTTAACTGAAGGTAAACTATCCAGAAGTCTGTTGCAGAACCCTACAATGCTCTAGTCACAAAGCTATACAGGTTTGGGGTGGTCAATTGTATGACAATTTTCCCATAAGTTTATTAGGTTTAGAGTGCAATTTTAGATCCTTAAAAGACTTTTCAAGAACAGATATATTTTGTCATACAACCTAAGTCTCAGCTTCTGTCTGTAAAAGCATTATAGAAATTAAACAGGGCTATGCCTACTTAACTTGATGCTTGGTCCAAATAATAGACTTCTTCGTGCATCTTCATAACGTCTACTTTTTATTTCCATAAAAATTATAGAAGGCTCTGAGAACTCCCTTTTAATAAACACAAAACCTAAATTATGTACCTCAGATTTGTTTAGAATCTCTCTCTCTTTTAAAGTAGTTCTTAAGAGCAGGACCCAAGCACTCCAGTGCTGGCAAATCTCCAATGTCATGCTGATCCCAACTGGGAAACAAACTGAGATATGGTCTCACTTCTCAGTATCCCAAAAGAGAATTGTTGTGCAAAATATAAGAACTAAAATAGATGACTCTTCTTTGGTATCAAAAACTAAAAAGTACATACCCATATATGCAGCCCAATGGATCGCACGTCTATCCTTCTTGTCAAAAGCATTAATATTGGCACCTCTAGACAAGAGCAGTTTGACCATCTGGAATAAAAACAAATACAGATCAATCAGTGATGCCTACTTATCTCAATCTCTCTGGTACTGAATTTCTACATTTGTAGAAAGGACCTAGAAAAAATCCTGAAGACTCTCTAACTTAATAAATGAGACAAAGTATTAAAAATAAAAAAAAGAGAGAGAGAGGCCACTGTTGGTGAAGACAGGCAGTACTTTTCAAGGATGCCACTTTATGTCCTGGTATTATACAAGCAACTATATGGATGGTCTAAATGTGGAATATCTAACAATAGGTTATTAAAACTGGACTTTCATTAGTAAACAAAAGTTATTAAAATACAAAGTGTAATCTCATTGTAAAAGTACTTTAAATCTAATTCAAATACAAATATAGTATCCATAACGTGTTTAGACCTGAAGATCACTGCATGGTCTACTTACCTTGGAATGTGTCAAGAATAATATTTCTATTATGCCTAACAATAATATTAACAATAGTTTCCCCACTGGACAGGACATTCCAGACTTGAAAAAGGGACAAATCTTGTACTCTTAACTGCAGTGGAGGCAAGGATTCTTTATCTTTATGCTACAAAAGCAGAGAACAGTGAAATCACACTGCAGCCATAAGCTCTCAGTCACAGAATCTCGAGAATGTCAATTTATCTCTGAGTTTCTGTGCCTGTAACAGAAGTAAAGGACTGGACAAACTGGTCTCAAAAGCTCTTCTAATTCTGTGTGTTTCATTCTTTACCAAGTCTTCTATGTACACATAAACCTCACTCTTTGCTAGGACAACAGTTAACATAGGCACTGTTTATTGTATATGGTAACTAAATATTAACTTTTTTTGAAACTGTTTTCTTTTGATGATTTGTCACCAAAGAATTCTTAACTAAATATTGATAATAAACTGTAAGAAAATGTTTTCTCTAACTTCCGCCTTCCTTTGCTACTATCTTACTAGTAATCAAATTGCTTTATCTTCCTACATTATTTTTTCAACAGAGACAGAACATGCTTTTTTACACTGTGTTAACGAGCTGGCAGTGTCTTCTAAGTGGACTATGAAATTCAAGCACAAGGGCTGTATCTAACTAAATTTCCAAATATTACAAAAATATCATTAAGAAAAGCAGGTTTACTAATAAAGGCAAAGCTAGGTGAAAATTAGCAAACATGAATTTGCATTTGCTTCTATCATGAACTGATGAATGGGCAAAAAGACAAGTTCACAAATAAATGACAGGTGGATGGACACAGGAAAACAGAATCATTGTCTAATTACTATCACCTACCTCACCATGTCCACTGAAAGCTGCATGGTGTAAGGCAGTCCTCCCTGCTCGATCAGACACGTTCACATTACTCAGAAGAGGGACCAAAGCTTCAGCACACTTTACAGCTTTATTAGCAGCAGCTATGTGTAGAGGGGTTTGCCAATTTTTGTCTCGAGCATTAACATCAGCAGAATGCTTCAACAGTACCTGTACTGCTTCCTGTAACATGAAGATAAAAATTATGAGGCAAATGAATAGTTTTAGAAATTTTACATCTATGAAGGAAATGAAATCAGTTCTAGTCAAGCATATTGTAAACAAATAGTGTTTTACCTAAGAAAAGAAAATGTTTGGACCTAAGGGCAGTACTCAGTCATATTAAGAACATTCCACTTTCTAGCTTTCAACTAAAGGTCTAAAAATCCCAAATGTTCAAGAAAAAAATTTTATTCAAAAACATTCATTACTTCTCTTGTTTTTCTACATGGCAAGATACAATTAATTTGTACTCTGAGAAGTTTTAAGAATGAATTTATCACTTTGCCATTAGATATTTAAAGATTACAGTATTTCTTTAAGTATCATGTATGCTATTTTCTTACACAATGAAAACCACTACGATACAGTTTATTAAGAGAGAGAAAAAAGGACACACACACACACACACACAGAGCTTGGCTGTGATGCTACCTGGCAGGAAGGCAAAGTAGCATAATTTATCATTCAAAGGGATTTGTCTCCTAGAAGCATAAAGAAGACTTCACAATACATCCTTAAAGGACTCACGGCAATATCCTAAAGAATGCAATATGCCACCAGCAAACAGTAAGCATTGAATCAGAATTAAACCTAGCTAAAATGTTCTCATTACAGTGATATTCTTATCTTTGATAGATGAACAAACTATACATAAAAATGAGAAAACAAAGAATCATTTCAGTTCTGTCATTTTCAAGGTATGATTATTTTAGTAAAACTGATCCTCAGTTTTTTTAAATCTAAAAAGAGGGAGACTACTTCCTGTTTACCACTCTCCATAAATCTGCATGAAAGCAGAAAATTTAATGTCTAAGTATAAAGAACTGTAGGTATGCAAGGCAGCATGGAAGATTAAATAAAATACTACTAAGAGTGATTCACAAATAAGGTTTTAAGCTTATGAAATAAAAAGTAACCAGAACCCTTTCAAATAGGGTAAACAACAGAAGTATTTAACAGATCTGGCAAAAGATTGGGCAGATGCCCAGAAATTTGTTTCCTGCTAGGAAAATTGGCCAAGTAATCAAAGATATACTAATATCTACCCTAATATCCTACAATTCCCCTCTAGTTATTTACCCAAAATATTGTTTTTAAAAACTCAGCCAATAATGCTCATATTAACTATATGCATAAGACCCTAAAACCAGAAATGCAGTATCCATAAATAGAAAAATGGATAAATTGTTGAATATCCATACAATGAAACACTACTCAGCAATAAAAAGTCATTAGCTCACACAATGACATGGACAGGTCTCAAAAATGTTTCACTGAACAAATGAAGCTAAAATACAAAGCTTTTATTATATAATTTCATCTTTATAAAGTTCTAGAAAGGATAAAATTACTTCGTGGAGAGAGATCAGAGTAGTTGTTTCTGGGGACAGAAAGGACTGACAGAAAAGGTTACCTAAGAGAATTAGATTGGGAAAAAGGTCACAAAGTATGTACATTTGCCCAAACTCAATACACAAAGGTGTATACCTTTGCCAAATTTCAAATCTGTGAATTTTGTTTTAAATTATTTACCAAAAAAAAAAAAAAACCCCAAAATTAAGAAATAAATAATTTATAAAAAGGAATATGGAGAGAAACATACAGAGTGTTATGGAACACAAGGTACTCAAAAAGGGTGTATTGTAAGTTGAGGAATAAAAATAATAACAACACTATACCAGCATATGTTAGTAGGTCTGTTAATGGATGTACTAGAAAATAATAAAAAACCAAATGGAGAACTTGTAATAGGATAAACTGGGCAAATGAAGACTACTATAGATGACAGGCATGTCTTATTCATTGTCAGTCTGGAATTCCATGTACACTATACATTAAAACTTCTGAAAAGTCTGGGGAATATTTACTTTTCTTTAGTAATAACAGAAAAATTAAATCCAAGTAAAAGTTAATCCAATTTATAGATCAGATAGTCTTGACTAAATTTCCTAACAAGTATACTAATTATGAGTTACCATACTACACAGCCCAGAAATTTTTAGGTTGAAAAACAGTTGTGAAATTTGCATGGATCGTTTTGTTGTTGGTTGTTTTTTTTTTTTAATTTATTTATTTATGTATAGGAGAACCAGGGTAAAGACCAGAGATGCAGGGAATGAGAGGATTCACTAAAGACAGAGTGGAGAGTAGAATAGGCAGGCAGACTGAAATACACTGATGAGGGGAGCAGTGGGTGAGACTGGAGAGATCTGCCATGCCATGTGGGTCACTTCCCTGGCCAGGGAGTGAACTGCAGTGGCTGCAGAATGCCTCATAGTGTTGTACTTTAACCCCTTGTGTCAGCAGGGAGGTCCCTGGATCATTGCTTTTTAACTTACAGGTTCTTAAATTAAGTGTAAGAATGTAATTTTATTTTTAAATTAGCAGTCATCAAGTCTATGTATGGAACCTGCAAACTTTCTTGTAAGTATTAATTTTTTAAAGAATATTTGTTCTGAAAAAAAAAAAAAAAAGGAAAAAAAATATTTGTTTTGTTTTACAATCTCTGCAAATACTTAGTTTGCCTGCAAAGAAAGTGTTCTTTCTAATTAACTTGGGGAAACTCCACTAGTTTTAAAAGTTGTATTTCCAAGAGTCATAACAGTAAGTGGATGATAATATGACTAACTGATTAATAGTTTCAATGATGATAATGTTTACTTCCTTAGCTGCTTTTATTAAAAACAAAACAAACCAAAACCAAAAACAAAAACTTCTTTACAAAAAGCTAAGCACAAACTTAGAAACATTACCAGAGAATTCAGAGTTCATCCACTGGCTGCATGCAGTGTGAGTGGGGTAGAGCAAGAGACCTTCTATGTTCTGCAGGACACTTGGAGAGCGAGGACCTTCTGCTATTGGGACAATTAGGCAAGTTTGATTCTTCCACTGAACAAAGTAGTATGGGCTTTGTTAATCATGAAGTCATAAACCAGAGGGACAGGATGAAGAGTGGGAAGGGAAAAGGGAGGGATCTAGTGAACTATGGTGGAGGATTATTAGTGCTTTGGTAGTAGGGGTGGTATACTAACATGTATCTGAGTAACTGTGAACCTATACCTCTAAATCACACATAAACCAATGTTATCTCAATTTAAAAAAAAAAGGAATTTTAGTGTTCAAAGTATCTATATTTATACTAGTTTTCTTAACCTCCAGATAAGTATGAAATTGCAGAACTAGAATGTTACAAGTTACTCAGCTTCCCCAAATCCAGATTCAACAATTTATTGCCTATAGCAACAAGAAGAAACTAGATCTGAGTTAAAGAAGTGTGCTTTCAATACCTGTTGTTCCTTCCCCCCTCCTTTCATTTGAGGCTCTAGCAACAGATTGCCTTTGCCACAAGATAGAGTTTCCAGTCATTTTTTGCCTTTATTTCTCTTCACCTATCCAGTGCTTGACCTGGACAGTTTGAAATGTAGTTCACAATGAGGACTGCAAAAAATTAAGAGAGAAGAGCTCCCCAAGTTTTTCTTGAGGAAATAATTCTGAAGCACTAGTTAAGAGTTACCCCTCCAGTTCAGGATAAAAATAACAACAGTTTATACTTTCTGGTATTTCACAATTTGAATAACAAAGAAACACTGCATTAACATTAATTTATACACACACTTTTGAATTTTATATTTAAATATTTATTTTCAATAAGCATCAACTGTTATAAAAGGAGTTCCTGGAGCAGAAAAGCATTTTCAAATAACAATACATTTTAGAAAGGCAATAAAATGAATGGAAAAAAAAAAGAATGGTTTTGTCCCATCTCTGGTATTCAACAGCTGAGTGGTTTCTTGTAAATCAGTAACTATTAAGTTCTCTCAAAATAAGGACCCAAAAAAGTACTATTTTTAAAACTAATTCCAGTGTTTAACAACATTTCAATTAATCATTATACCATTGCTGAGATTATTTCTTGATCATTATCAGCTACATCTTTGTAACATGCCTATTAGACTAATGTGAATCAGAAGAGAGAATTCCCCAGAGCGATTTTATAAGACCAAAAAAATTCTCTGGTAGGTAAGTATAGAAGGTATTTTAGATTCTCCAAGAAGACTTACTCACAAAAGGAGAAGTGGGAGAAAATTAATTTAATTAACTTAATTTTAGAATTGTAAAATTTTCAAGTAAAATGATTAGAATAGGTATTTCAGTCACTATCCCCTTCTTTTGACAGCACAGAAATGGAAAATGAACTCATAAGCAGGCATACTTAAACTTTTAACATACAATAGTTATATTTACACTCAGAGAAATGTCATACCTCACTACAAGATGCAACTGCTCTGTGTAAAGGTGTCAACCATTTGCTGTCTTTGGCATTAACTCTAGCTCCTGCAACAAGAAGAAAAAATGAATTGAAATATTTTGCATAAAATATTTTAAATAAATTTGAAATTATATTTAGTCCAGATTGGATAAACAATTTAAAAATACTACTTAATATTTATACTGCCTACTAATAAATGACCCTTAATTCACATAACATAAGTGTTCTTTTTAATTGATGTAATTCTCCAATACACTTTAGCTCTTTCTATTAAAAGAAACATTTTACATATAAACTAGAAAAGCCACCTTTATACAGAGCACTTCCAAAGTAAAATTCAGACCCCACTTTAAAATGAGTGTACTTAACATAAATGAATGTAAGAATATTTAGACATAAAACTTAGACCCCTGCAAAGCCTTCATTATATTTCTTTATAATAAATGTATCATGCCATAAATGTAAACATAAACACAGTATTATCAAAATAGTTCTCTAGTGATGGTTAAAAACACATTATTGCATGAAATGTATAGAATTGTTACAACCACAAGGGAAAAAAACTGAAACAAAATGAACCAATCTACATGTCTTTGGGATAATACCTAATGATTTAAATTAAAAAACACAACAAACCCAGTTCATACAGTTGTGTAAAAATCATTAAGTCAATGTAGAAAAAAATTAACCT